TCTCACGGAAAAATACTGCGCTATGAATCATTTCGAACGTATTGCATAAGTTTCGGGCTGTCTAAAAAAACACCCGTGGCACGAAGCAAACAATTTCGGACCTTTATAGGGAATTTCCGTACTTTTTTTGTACTTCCAGATCGTCCTCAAAAAATCAGTACTATTTCCGGACTTCCGGACTAGTAGACACCTGGCACTACAAATGACGTTTATTCGGAAACAACGTTTTTCTGAAAACAACGTTCTACTTTCAATCCCCTTCGAAAACTTTACAACAAGATACGACTGTATTCCTCTTGAACTTAGCTATTACCTCTTTTCCCTTACTTCGTCTAAAGGCTGTAAATACCATTCGAATAACGCCACAAAATCAACAGTGAATAATAAAACTCGGCTTTTAAACACAGGGTTGGGGGAACTTTACACTCCAGTTTGACCCAAAAAATCAACTCCTGAACTCTTCGCGCCGGATATCGAATTATCCCGTAGATTTTCCTTGGCTCCGAGGAAAATAATTTTTTCCTCGGGAGCTTTCGAAACGTCAAAATTCAGATAAGGACGTCGTTTTGACGGCCGAGCGTCGATTTGATCGAACGAACAATTCAATTACGCTCGTGGAGCGCACCGGAGCACCTGACCGCATCTCGCAACTCAATTTAATCCGTCTCAATTGACTGCCCCTACCGCCTTCCCCTCCCCTCCCTCATTTACCGCCCCTCAGGTCTGGGCGCACTGCACTTTTATCCATCCTACTGTCACGTTTCCCGCGAAAATCAACGGATTTCCGCAGAGCGTGGCTGTAATGACTGAACCAACTGGCAACCGTGTGTGCATCTCAATACTGAAAATTCTGCGCTTACGATGACGCCCACGCATCAGCCATGACGTCATCATTCTCCGGGGGGGATCCCCGGTCAGGGATTCTCCGTTACGTCGGACTAAAATGCTGCTGTGCTTAGGAAAAACGCCGCATGAGCATCCAAATGTTGCCAAATTTACTATCAGAAAATGTATATTTTTGAAGAGAGTTATGAATATTTGTCCTTGAAATTTTCAGACTTATAAGATCAAATTTCGGACGAAATCCTCCGAAAAATTGGACGAGAGATGTTCATAAATTATCCCGAAAATTCGCGATTTGTCAAAGGAAATCTGGCAACTCCGGAGGGTTCATGCGGCGTTTCGTTTTAGAGACCCCGCATCGCTATTGGACTACATTTTGCAATTAGGAACTAAAAACTCCGACTCAGTTTAAAAACGACGTATGAACCGTTAGTTTCCTTATGCACATACGTGTTTTTTCGAATGAGTCAGCATTTATAGTTCCTAATTGCAAAATTCAGTCCTATTTTTCCTCAGTGTACCTACATGGGCAGTGGTGAGCCGTGAATGATCGATTATCGAGAATTCCCCATTTGACGCTACGGCAAAGAATCGATTATTGAGATGTTTGTTAAGAACACCCGATCCTTGTCAAAAGGTTTGAATGGCAGATAACGCGATATATCGCAAAGCACGCCACGGTTCTGATAT